CTTAGGTCATGATCTCGCGGTTCGTGGGTTCGAGCCCCGCGTCGGGCTCTGTGCTGACTGCCAGCTCAGAGCCTGGAGCCTGTTTCAGTCTGTGACTCCCTCTCTCTCTGACCCTCCCCTGCTCACGCTGTCTCACTCTCTCTCCTAGAAATAAACAAAACATTAAAAAAATAAAATAAATAAAAAAAATAAAGAGTTTCCTTCCACTCGAGTTTCTTTGCAAGATAATAAGGAACATAATATATTGCTAGTTGTTTGTGTCTGCCTCTTTAGGGCTCACTTTCCTCTCACAGTTGCCTCTAAAACGTGGGGTAAGACATGAAAGGGGGAAAAAAAATCAAGAAATGTTTACAGTTAAAACCTTTTATTGTTTTATAACCAAATAAAAATATCAATACATTTACGGGGCAGGTCCCAGATACTGGTTGCCATCTTTCCTCCTTTACTTCCGTGCACTGGCCGAAGGGGAAACAGAGCAGGAAGAAGGGTGTGCCTTTTGGAGACAGTGCTCGGCCCACTGGAGAGTATACTTCGAGAAAAGCTGCATCATTGGGTGGAGGAGAGTGGGTAGCAACAGGTGGAGCCCTTTTCCAGATACGCAAGATGCCATTCCACGTGGGGTGATTTAGGGACTCTGCAGGGCGCTGTAGTCCACAGCTGGGGTGCTTAGACACCTGGAGGAAGTCACGTTCCCCCTTTACAACTGGTCCCCCAGTGGGGCAAGCCAGCCACAGAGAAAGAGCTGATGGGGTGGTGGCAAAAAGGCAGTCATGACTGGTCAGTCCTGGTGACCCCTGCATCAGGAGTGGAGGGCACTTAGCTCTTTCATCGCTGGTCCTCTTGATGGCACGCGGGTAGCACCCAGTTTACAAATCCCGGTAACCAGCATCATGGTGCTCCCAGGCATGGAATTACTCAGAGACTACTAGGTAGATGGCCTTAGGCCACAGCCTGAAGGCAAGCATAGACCGTTCAGGGGATCCTGAAATGTCAACATGGAAAGGAGCTCTGGAGAGGCTGGCGTCCTCATCTACCTGCTGAGGCAGCCGGTGCCCTGAGGGAAAGGGGCTCTCCCCAGTGGAGCTCGAGCTCCCACTTCACTTCCCGTTTCAAAGCCAGTTTCTAGAAGATTTAGGAACCTCCCACTCATCCACCGAGATTATGCAAAAAAAAAAAAAAAGGGGGTAATGGGGGTGCGTGCAAAAGCAAGGAAACTGGCAGTGTGCAACACTATCCAGAAGCTGTGATGGGGTCCCTGGCTTTTCTGAGCACAAGGCCCATGACATGCCGAGGAGGCCACCTGGAAAGCTTGGCTGGAGATGAAACCATTAGGTTAAGTCCTCTGTGGCAGTGAAGTTTAATGGGGCAGCCCTTAAGATTAAAGATGGTTGGTGGAAAGAAAGCCTCACGAAACCGGCTTCAGTCACAGTGTCTCCATCCAGCTCATTTACTCCTCATGTCAAGGCATTTCTTTTGCACACGTGGCTGCCGTGCCTGAAATGCTTCCCCCATCACCTCATTAAGCTGCTTTCAGATTTCGGCTTCTATGTCACGTCCTGGGGGAAACTCTCGCTACTCCTCACTGAAGATTCATTCAGCTTGTGATTCTGTGTGTGACCACGGATTAAGGTTCACCTCCTAGGCTGTAAGCACTTGGGCAGGGATGGTTTCTGTGTTTCTCACAACCATTACCAGACTTACTCCATCACCTGACAACAGGCACTCAGTGCATATTTACCAACTGAATGAACACCGTAGGGAGACATTTTCATTCCAGTGTAAAACGAATAGTACAGTTTTCCCCAAGTGATGTGGCTGCCGGAAAGCAATTCCAAAAACAGGCTAAAAGAAACTAGACCAACTACCCAGCAGCCATGACCCCTGCCCTTTTTGCTTCCTCCCAAACACGAAAGTATACAATTCCTAGGTTTGCCTTAGTGAGAGAGCTAACCCTAGTGGATCACCCAGATTTTTCATTTTCTATTCCGAGAACAGGAGGGCTTGGTGACAGGTTCCCAGCCCAGAGTGAAGGAGCTGTTTGCTCTGAAAGGAGCGAGCTTCCCGTTTGGGGGACCATGCCCTGCTCGGCCTTCTTGCGAACCCCTCTGTCCCTCTCCAAAGGCCCCAGTGGGAGGATGCTTCCACCCTTCTGACCTGAGGGAGGCCCAGAGAGCACTTCCAAAGAGGACACTCCTCAGAGTCCGGGGAGCTAGGCAAACCAAAGCATGGCGCTTGCTGAGTCCCAGGCAGCCCCGCGGGCCTTTGCTACCGAGGAGACCAGACACCAGTTAGTGATGAGCTGTAGGTCTCTTCCCTTGGGTTTACAGAGGGGCTCTCAGCTGGTGGGAGAGGGAGAAGGGAGCGAGCCGAGCCAACTACCAGCCCGGTACTTCAACGTATTCCATCGCGTCTCTTTCTCACAGAGGAGACTTGATCTGACGTTGCAGCCATCAGAAAAAGTTCATTTCCTGAGCGGGGGCACAAGTAACCAAGCAGATTTCTCCGCAAAACAGTGGAGCCTCTTGGCGTTGGTACTGTTGCCTTGGGGAACAGGGGTGGGAGGGAAGCTTGTCACCGTCTATTCTTTTGTACCTTTTGGTTTTTGAATCATGTAAGTATTATCTAGTCAAAATATTTTAATTTAAATACATTGAGCATAATGTCACTTTCCTGGGGGTGGGGGTGGGGTAGAATCCTCTTGCTCTCAAAACAGATTGTAAGTCTGGCCTAAAATCCGCATCAGCTGCCAAAGCTGGCCTCTTCCTCCCTCAGACCCAGGCTTTGCATTCTCAGTAACCAGTGCTCTCATACCTGAATGTCCACACGAATCACATGGAATCTTGTTGAAACATGGGTTCTGATTTAGGAGGACGAGAAAGGGGGCAGAGACCGCGTTTCCAGGGGGCGGGGGGAATGCTGCTGCCACTGGTCCCCAGGCCACAGCGCCAAGGGGGGGGCGCAGACTGGGGCAGCATTGTGGGGCTGGAAGGGAGTAGGCAGGGGTGAAGGGTGGGGATGAGGGGCAGGGCCCTCCCTAACAGTTTTGGCCTCCCTGTTACCAACTGCTCTGCCTGCCAGGTGAGCGCCACCTATTCGATCTCTTTAGCCCTTCAGACGCAGCCTTGGAGGAGAAAGGGAGGGAAGCTGGGTGGGGGACACCCAGCTCCACAGAACCACAAGGGAGAAAGGGCACCGGCAGATGGGCTCCCATTCAGTGAGACACTGTGCCCAGAGCTTCCTGAGGCTGGGCAGGTAGACGGGAGCCCAGGCCTGCCTGCCTCCCCTTCCCCACCTTTCCTGGAAACCCGCAGAGGCTGCCTCTCCCCTCAAGGGCCAGCTGCCTCTTTACAGGCCGGGTCCTTTCCTGGTTGCTTCCTTGGCCACCTATAATTTTATCCTTGAGGGTAGGCCAGACGTCCCCTTGGATGTTGGCCAAAGTCTTTCTCTGAGGAGCCATCATTTTCAACAGGGATTTGTGGTCCTTGGCTAGAGGCTGGAGGACGGCCAGAGTGGCTGCGCCTGGCTGCGATGTCTGTTGGCTCCGGAAGGAATTCCACGCGTGCTCCCCCGACCCGAGGGCCATGTGAGTGTCTCATTTAAGCATCTCTTGGATAGGGCACAGCCCACAGCACGTAGCGTTTACTGTGCACACGAATGAACTAAGTTCTCAGGAAAATAAAACAGTCGAGTACCACTCAGGCCCCTGGCCTTCCCTGCTTCCCTCGCCGAGTCCTCCTCCTCCAAGTCCGAGCCACGCTGGCCGCCAGGAGGCTCCCCTCCCCTGGCACACAAGGAAAAGCTAGTCGTGGGATCTCCAGGTGCGGAAGAGACAGCTGTGCCCGGAAGCGCCTGTCCCAAGCGAACACAGTTCTCAGTTCAGAGCTGCGGGCGGTTCTGCCCCAGCACCTTCAGCAAATCTGCTCTCGGCACACACCTCAGGCTATGCCTCCGGGGTCTGCAGGTTCTGTAGCTGCTCCACATTCACCTTTCCATTTCCCACATGGCCAGACCTGGGGGTGAGGGGGCGGGTAGGGGGCACACAGAGGACAATTGGGGACCCTGTGAAGAGGGCCAGCCTCCCTAAAGGCAGACTCCACCCTCAGCAGCCTCCCACTGGCGGCAGGGCAGATGGAGATTCCCAGGCATGGGCAGGCTGGGGAGAGCCTGGCCACAGCCCGGGTCCGTGCCGATGCCCAGGCCCAGGCCTCCGGGGCCAAACCGGCAATGAGCAGCAGCCACTACGGTGGCTCCCTCAGGGCACCCAGGCCTCCCACAGCCAACACCATGGGGTGGTCATTCCTCCGTCTCACAGGCTCAGGGGCTCAGGGAGCACACCAGGGGTGCTGCTGGGACCCCTGCCTCCTTGCCACAGCCCTGAGCCTCTGCCTTCCTCACTTCTCTCCCTCCTTTGCCTGCCTCTCCTTCCCAGTGCATGTCTCACTCCTGCCCTGCACAGGCCCAGCTCCCCACGGGAAGCTGCCAGTCCCTGAGTCAACAAAGAATGAAAGCTGGGGACCAGAGGAGCAGACCCCCAGCCCAGGCAGGGAAACTGGGATATGGTTTACAAAAGGAGAGTCAGAAGCCTAGCCTGGCTGAGCAAGAAGGTCCCCTGTGTGCCGGGGAAGGGCAGACTACAGGCCACTTGTCAGCATACCACCACCCTCCTAAGGCTAGGGCAGTTCCAGAATTTCTGGAAGGCATCTGATGAACAGGGGAATGGCAGGCTTGACAAGGCAGGAAACTGTCAGGGAGAACTGGATTCTGGAGACATACTGCCTAGGTTCAAATCCCAGCTCTGCCGTTTATTAGCTATGTGACTTTTGTCACAACTTTTCTTGCCTCGGTTTCCTCATTAGAACAGGGACTGTGAGTGTCCGCCTCATTAAGTTGCTGAAATGGGTTCATACATACATAGAGCTCAGAGAAGCGCCAGGCAGAGGAAGCCTGAGGAAATGACGTTGTCTTAATGCTGGGATAGCACAGCAAGCAGACTGCTGTGTGGTGGCTTGGGGGGCGGGGGGCTGAGGAAATAACGGGGATCACGAAGGGGTTAAAGCAGCCCTGTCCCCCACAAAGTCCAGCTTGGGTGGGTGCTCCCGGGTCCCGGACGTCCTGCCTTGTGTCCATGTCATGCTGGAGCAGGGAGGAGAGGAGAGGGCCGGCCCATCTCTACAAGGCTCGTTCTCGGGTCCTCCACCCAGCAGCCCCTCAGCGGGCGGGCAGCCATTCCCCTTCCGGCTGCTGCCTCCGTGCTGCGCCTCCGGCTGCTCGGCCAACCCAGGCCCCGCCGCCGCCTCCTCTGCCTCTGGGCTCCCATCCTGTTGCGAGGCCTCGGCCAGGACCCGCAGGACGCTGGGCAGGACAGGACCGAGTTAACCCTGGCCTGCAGAGCCCAGCCCACCTTCCCCAGACTGGCGGGGTGGGGGCGTGGGGCAGGCCCTGGAGAGCCACTCGCCCTGTGGGGGCACCCCTCTTCCTCTAGCAGCTCAGCCAGGAGGCAAGAGGGCTCTGGCTCTGTCTGCGACCGGGGTCGGGGCTGAGGGTGCAGCCTGCATCAGGGCTGGGTTCAGTCCAGGCAAATGATGCAGGCTGACCCTCCGCCTGCTGTCCCAGGCTGCGGTGGGGTTCAGGGAGCACCCCGGTGCCCATCTGGAGCCCACCATCTGCAATTCCCCTTTCTGATCCCCGCTCCTCCAGGAATGGCTGGGCCAGAGCCCCTTTCCCCTTCCAGTCTGCCCACAGGCATCAGGACTTCCCGCTTACACAGTATTCTGCTGCTCTGAATATACGCATACACACCGCCATGCTCAGGGGCCCACGAGAGCCTGGAAATAGGCTCCCACAGGAAAACACAAGAAATCCATCTTTTTCTTCCCTTACCACTGCAGCTTCCCTCAACCCCAGCCAACCAGGACTACCAAGTCCAAGAATCCTAAGACATAAGAGAGAGACAATGGGGTCCAAGGAGGCCTCGGACTTCTCTGAAGTCACATGGTAGACAGTGGCGGAGTCAGGCCTGGAAACCAGATCTCCTGGCTGTGTCCTTTGGAGGCCTTTTATTCCACCAGCTGCTCTGCGATGGAATTCAGCTCTGTAAAGCATGTTCTCAGAACATTCCACCTTCCGCGCGGCCCTTCCAGGGGAGCTCCCAATGGGTCAGTCCTGCCTCCACACGCTAGGCATTACCATCCAACCCGGGTAAAGTTTCTAGGCCAGGGAGGGGAACTCCAGTCAAGGCGGCCCCACAAAAGTCCCCTCAGGCTGCAGGGGAGGAAGCATAACTGACCTCACTTCCTCGTACTTCTTGTCTCGGTAAAAGTGGCTCTTCTTGATGAAGTAGATAAGCACCAGGTCACAGAAGAAAGCGCCCTGCAGCAAGAGAGTTGGTGTTCCTGACTCAGAATGCTAGATTTCCAGGAAGCACCCTGCCACTTGACCCATAGTCCATTCCGAGGGATCAGACAACAACCCCTACAGGGCATCATTGTCCCCAGTCAATAGATGGGGAAACTGGGCTCAGAAAGAGGCATTTTGTCAAAGGCCATGAAGTTCATCCACGGTAGAGCCAAAGTTAGGCCGGAGTTAGCAGATGGAGACCATCTGCTCTGTCAGGCCAAGCATCCCCTGTGCTGCCCTGACTCCATCCAATCATGTCTTCAGCAAATGTCACCGATGTGCCAGGCACTGCACTGGGTGCAAGACAATTAAGACAATGAGACCTCGAGGGGACTCTCCCTCTGGGGCAGAATTAGGACAACGACAAATCCGACGATGAGGAGAAGAGCAAGGAAGCAGAGTGAAGACAGGACCTTACTCTGGGGTGGGATATCTGGGCTGAGTGTTGAGGGCTGAATACTATGTAACAAGGCAAAAAAACACAAAAGCCAGGAAGGGCAGGCATTGCCGAGGTAGCAAAGGAAATTCCACAGGGCCTGTGTTGCAAAAGCCAGAGACACTTCTGGAGATGAGGATGGGGACCGGCTGCAAGTTCTCTTATAATGCCTTTGAGGCCTTGGTCTCAGGGGGAGGCACCAAAGGGCCTTGAATAGGGGCAAACACAGTCAGGATTGTGGCATTTTAGAAATTCAGGACGTGCCTTCTGCCAGTCAGTGTGAGAGACGGGTTGGAGAGGGCCTGAAGAGTAAGGACGGCAGGGGCAGTCACGGAAAGGCTGACGAGGACGAGGACGGAGCTAACCCAGGGGACCCCCCCCCCCACACCTGTTCACAGGAGCTGCAGAGCACATGGTGCACATGCCCGTCTCGTCCACCAGAGGGCCATCCCAGCCACAGCACCGAAGGGAGGGTTAGGGTTAGGGTTAGGGGGAGGGGCTGTTTCCCACCAGAACGAGGGGGTGAGGCGGGCTGGGTGGGCCAAGGGAGGGGGCTGAGGGATGGGTTCACAGGTGAACCTGGGCCTCTGACTCACGGCACTGCACAACCCTTCCCGGCCCCCCCGCCCTCTGCCCAGATGCCCCAAATGTTATCAACTCCTCCTTCCACAGAGAACACCCTTCCAACCAACCCAGCCTCCAGCACCACTGTTCCCGTTGCCTTGATTTCACAGGTAAGCACCCCATGCCCTCGTGTTCTGATTTACCCACACGAAGAAAGTAATGACTGACAGTGGCCCCTCTCTAAGAAAGTTACATGAGCAAACAGGATTCCCTAACAATGGCTGTTTGCAGTTAAGAGGAATCCTCTGGGGCTCACTGTCATCCGTCACCTCTCAGGAGAACAGCCTCGCTGAACCCCATGACTTGCTGATACTGCTCCACAGTTTTCCTGGTCTCAGTAAAAAGTCCCAGGTCCTGCCGGAGGCCTCCAAGAGGACGAGGCTGCCAGAAACCGTAGCAAGGAGCTTGCCGGGATGGGCAGGGGCCACCCACAGACAGCTCCCGTGTCTTTAGAAAAACTTCCAGAAGAACAAAGGGGCATGACAAGAGATTCGGGGGGAAAGCTCTGCCTACTCTCCAGCAAAGACTTCCTCTCCCGTGTGCCCCCAGGGCCCAGCCGGACAGATCTGAGGAAGGACCACAGCCTGACACCCTTGCTGCTCATATTCTTAGCCCTGGGATTTCCAACTGGGGGTGATTTTGTTCCCCAGGGGACATTTGGCAACTTCTGGAGACATCTATGGTTGTCACAAGTGGGAGAGAAAGCACTGTGGGGATCTAGTGGTAGAGGTAGTGCTACGTTGTTAATCATCCCACAGCACACAGCATAGCCCCACACAGGAAAGAATTATCAACCGGGCCATGGCTGAGCAACCAACCCTGTATACAGCTGGATCCTGGCTCTTTTTTGCAGCAGTGGAGATGAGGCTTAGGAAGTTCAGGAACTGACCCAGGATCCTAGAGAATCCCAGCCCCACTCCCAGCTCTGGATGCCTCTCCAGCCAGATGCCTCTCTGGCTCTGGAAAGAGAAAGTCAGGCCGTTGCTGCCACCTGGTGCTGCTGGCAGGTGTCAGTCCCAGAAAGCCCTCTTTACCCATGTGCCACGGACCTCGCCCGCTCCTGTTCTTTCTGAAGCGCATGAACAGCACTCCTGGAGCTGTTTTCCCCTCCCCAGCCAGTCTCAGAGGGTAAAGGTTGGGGGGGGTGGTACTCACAGCACCCATAAGCGCCACCCCAGAGCCAATGTTGATGATCGTGGGGATGATGTTGAACTTCCCTGCCTGTAGTGCAGAGAAACAACGCAGGGTGAACAAGGAAGGGTGGTCAGCAGGGTTCCTGGGTACTCCCAACATGCCCCCCCACCCCCCAGCCCTGCCTGGCCTCAGGAAGGGAGATACAGCCCACACACCTTGCCATTCACCATCACATCGAAGCGGATCCCATAGGCCTTCATGAGGGTGCGGAACTCCACTCCAGCTCCATCTCGGTAATATTTGGCAAACCTAAGGGAGACATGGCCCGGGGGAGACCTTCTGTGCTCGGCAGTACATACCAGGCTGCTTTGGAGATTTATGAGCGCCCCCGAGGGGGGAGGGTGCAGACCCTCTTGCTAACGTCAAGGTAAAGACTCATCCAGACCTTTGAAATCCTCACAGACATTCCCCAAGAGGCAAGAGCTTTCCCACTACACACTGGGCCAGCCCGGGGACACTAGAGCACTGATGGAAGTGACTGAGCTAAGTTCACGGGCTTCCTAGTGAACCCCCAGGGTGACAGAAACTTCTCTCCTCCCCCAGGGGTGCTCCCAGCTAGCATCCCTCACCTCTCCTCAGCTCTTTCTCACTATACCTCCCACTCTGACATCCACCTCAAGTAAGGGGTGTCATAGTGCTGGCACCCGGAAAAGGACAAAATGTGGCCAGAGTCACAAGACAGCAGGTCTAACCCCAGTTACCTGAAGTTGTACCCAGAGGAGACTGAGTTTTCTGAAAATTTGTTGTCCAGACGGCTAAAAGAATAGCGAGGGTTGCATTCAGAAGGAGCTTTATCAAGATCACAATCCCATTCAATCTGAATTCCTATCACACCACCCTTGATGAAGAAGAGACAAGAATCAGTGCACAGAACTTTCTGGAGGTGGGCAGAAGTCACAGACCAGCTCTTCACCAAGAGCTGGACAAGACGGGGAGAGTGCTCGAGCCACAGGTCGCCCCACTGAGCATCCTCCCAGGAGGAAGGTGGAAGCCCCAGGGCCCCAGCCCCACCTTTGGAGAGGCTGGGAAAGCGCATCACGGACAGCCCCCACCCCCATGCCCCTCCCACCCCCCATTTCACGCTTCCGGGGAGAAGGGAACTACTGGAGCCAGCCCCGTACATGCAGCTGGGATGCACCAGTGGGGCTCCTTCTGGCTCACTTTCAACTGATGCCCCCCAAGGGCTGCGAAGCACACAGCAGGTGCTCGCTGTGCCTCCCACTGAGTGCCTGGGTTCTGACAGGCTGTGTGTCAGCGCTAATCCCGAAGACAGTGAGTCCCTGGGGCGGGGCACTCCACACTACCACCCACCACCCGACCCCAGGAGCCCCCTCCTCCCCACCCTCTTCCTGAGCCCAGGCCCAGAGCTCTGAGGCACCCCCCTCCCTGGCCCGCAGGCAGGGCTCCCCAGTGCGCGCTCCCCACCTGCAGGGCTATCTCCTGGAAGTTGCTCCCTGCCCAGCTGACCACAGACCCCAATCGGAAGATGGGGCAGTACGGGTTCTTGGGGCCAAAATGACAGGACTTCAGGAAACCTTTGTCTTTGGTGTCCAGCACATTGGTCCTGGATGGAGGCCGTGAACACACAGTGAAATGAAGTGGAGACTGGCTGCTCCCGGGCCAGACACAGCCTGACGCAGGAGTCTCAGGGCCCTTCCCTGGCCCAGGCTGAGTCCCTGGCGCCACCCTTACTCAAGTCCTGACTACTCCCCCTTAGCCCCCTCCTCCAACAACCTCCTGCGGTCAAGGACAGAACGTCCCTCCCACAGCAGGGGGAAGGCGTGCTCCAGCATCTCCCAGAGGTTTGTTCACATGCAGATGTCGCACACACACCATGCACGTGGCCCCACGCACAGTGAACAAGGGGGCAGGCCCTAGGTCCCCAGTAACCAAGTCCCACCTACTTGGAGAAGTTGAATTTGGGGAAACGAATGAAGTTCTTTATGTAAACAGTGAAGTCTTCAGCCTTGCCCAGGAGCGGCTTCCTGCAAACCAAGCCAGGACAGTGTGCCCAGGAGGCCCTGCCCTTCCCCCCCTGTACATCCCCCCGGGGCCCGTGGCAGGGCTGAGGCCTGCCTGCTCCCTAGGTCCCCGGGAAACCTTGCCGAGAACCATCGATTTCTTCGTGTTGGGGTGGTCCTCAGGCCCTTGTGGGGTGTCCTCAGAATGAGGAGCTCATAGTAGACATGTCTCCACCATCAGGCTGAGACCCACTCACTGCCCAGGTAGCTTTTTGGGGTCCCGAGGCTGCAGCCACTCACACTGGCCTGGACTTTGTCTCCACTGGACACCAGGCGAAGATCTCGCAGGTGCCCCTTTGCCTGTTCACCCCCCGAAGGCAGCGGCCAGTCCTCACTCCTGCAAGATTGGGGCAGAAATGATGCTAGAAGCCTCCTGGCTCCAGCCCCCACTTTGCTCCCAACCCCACCATTCCAGGCCTCACCATTTCCAGCCACAACAGGCTCCCCAGGAGGGCAGTCACTGTCTGTGTAGCACAAGGCATCCGGAATGCTTTCACTCTGCCGGGAGAGAAGGTGCATGTGGGTGGGGGTCCCCTGCAGGGGCTCCCATTCAGAACCAAGGTCTCACCCCAGGAGCTGGAACAGGGGTTCCTCCCCTGAGTGGGGCCACACACTCTCTGAGAAACTGCATCTCTCCCCCCAAGCGATGCAGGCCCACACTCCAGTACACATATTCTCCAGGGCATATGAAGGCGGTAGAAACCACTGCTTCAGGAAAAGGGTAGACCCCAGCCCCTGATGGAGGCTCTCCCGCCCCCTCCCCAGCCTTATGAACCAAATCAAACCTCAGCACAGGTTTCCTGCCGCTGGTTGGGGGTCACGATCAAGTTGGTGACTACGAAGAAGACGTTCTCTCCCTGAGAAACCGGAGAGGCATTGAGGGACATCCTCTTAGCCTCTTGGGGACCCTCCTTCCCAGGACTTCATGGCAGGGGGTTGGGTCTCTGCATGGGTGTTGAGGACAATGGGGCCACAAAACCAGTGGATCCCACCCATCTGCCCACTGACCCTGAAGTCCCTGAGTAGATGTCCTTTGACAGGGCTCTTTCAGGCCCCCAACACCAAACTGCCCCCCTCCACGAATCCCTATTCTGACCTCAGCTCCTGGGATCTAAGCCCAGATCTGGGAGGAGAAGAGGCAGTGATGGGGTGGCCAAGGCCCTGGCCCAGGCCAGTTGTGACTAGGCCAGGGAGCCATTCCCAAGGGCAGAGGCTAACATACAGGAGCAGTTCTCTGTGCCAGGCAACCCGACCCACACTGATCTGGAACTTCTTGGGGCCCAATTTGGTCTCTACAGGCTCAGGATTTGTTGGGAAGGGAGTGGTCACAGAGGTGCAGTCAAGGAGGGCAGGGGGATGGCGTGAGGGGAAGGATCTGGGCAGGGTCTCCATCTGCAAATCCTGGTAGCTGTCCTGGGCCAAGGGAGACAATCAGTGAAGGTCCCTGGGTACCTCCCCACCCTAAGCGAGGCCCTATTAGCTGAGGCCCCAGTGCTGGGTGGGGTTCAGACCTGGGGTGGGATGACGTAGTCGGCAACATCCCAAAGTCGCTCCCCGAGCTCAGAGGTATTGGTGAAGGCCACACCCTTGACTTTCGTGATGATACTGCTCTGCAGAGACGTGTCGGTGTCTTGGTAACCCTTCTTCACCAGGAACACCCAACTGTGGGGAGAGGGCCCAGCAGCGGGCATCAGGGTCACCACTGCCCTCGGGGAATCCTCCCCAGGGTATTCACCTTTCCCACCAGCTCCTGAGCAGGGGTCACGACCGCACTGCTGCCTAAAACCCAGTCCTGCAAGCAGCACAGGTGACAAGCAGCCCGAAGAGCAGGGAGATGGCTGCTCTCAGGGGCTGAGGCCTTGAAGCTGACCCAGGCCGGGCCAGCCTGCTCACCCATGCCTGGGGATGTGACCTCAGGTGAGCCAATGAACTCTGGGGCTCAGCACAGGGACAACAGGGCCTCCCTCCAGGGGCGTGAGGACAGTTAAAGGAGATGGGGCATAACCTGAAACTCAGCATGAGGAGACCTCAGACATATCCAACCAGGGGGCGGGGGGTGTCATTCTACAAAACGAGAGTACAAAATCCTATACTCTTTGACACCCAAAACACATGCAATAAAAGAAAAAAATAGATAAATAGTACTTCATCAAAATTAAAAACTTTTGGGTGTAGGGGAGCCTGGGTGGCTCAGTCGGTTAAGTGTCTGACTTTGGCTCAGGTCAGATCTCACAGTTCGTGGGTTCGAGCCCCGCATCAGGCTCTGCGCTGACAGCTCAGAGCCTGGAGCCTGTTTTGGATTCTGTGTCTTCCCTCTCTCTCTGCCCTTCCCCCACTCATGCTCTGTCTCGCTCTGTCTCAAAAATAAACTTTAAAAAAATTTTTAAAAAAAACTTTTAGGCGTCAAAGGACACTATCAAAAAAATGAAAAGATCACCCACAGAACGGGAGAACTATTTGCAAATCTTATAACTGGTTAGGGTCTGGTATCCAGCACATATAAAGAACTCTTACAACTCAGCAATAAAAATACAAAGAAACCAATTTAAAAAAAAAAAAGGTCAATAATTTGAATAGCTATGTCTCCAAAGAAAATTATACAGATGGCCGATAAGCACAGGAAAAAGACGTTCAACATTATTACTCATCAAGGAAATGCAAATCAAAACCACAATGGGATACTACCTCACACCGAATAAGATGGCTGTAATTTAGAAGAAAGAAAGAAAGAAAGGAAAATAACAAGTGTTGGTGAGACTTCAGAGAAATGGGTATTTGCTGACAGGAACGTAAGATGGTACAGCTGCTGTGGGGAAGTTTGGTAGCACCTCAAAAGGTAATGATATGTCCTAGCAACTTCACTCCAAAATATATACCCCAAAGAACTAAAAACATAACCACACAATAACTTGTAAGTGAATGTTGTTTGAGACAGCCAAAAGGGAGAAACAATCCAATGTCTGTCAACAGATGAATGGGTAAACAAAATGTGGTTTATCCATACAGCGGGGTCTTATTCAGCCGTAGAAGGAATGAATGACTGATGCCGGCTACAGCACAGGTAAACCCCAAAAACCCAATGGTAAGTGAAGCAGGGGAGGGGTGCCAACTGATGCTGCCAGTTACGGGTTTCTTCTTGGGGTGATGGAATGTGCTGAAAGAAGATAGTGGTGATAGCTGTAAACACTGTGAGCATTCAAAAACCACTTAATTGGATCATTTTAAATGGTTGAAATGGTGAATTACATGCCATGTGAATTTTCCTTCAACTTAAAAATTGTAATACAGGGGCGCCTGGGTGGCTCAGTCGGTTAAGCGTCCGACTTCGGCTCAGGTCATGATCTCACGGTGTGTGGGTTCGAGCCCCGTGTCGGCTCAGCCTGGAGCCTGTTTCGGATTCTGTGTCTCCCTCTCTCTCTGACCCTCCCCTGTTCACACTGTCCCTCTCTCTCTCAGAAATAAACATTAAAAAACATTTTTTAAAGAAAAAAAAGAAATACACACTGAAGGATGTAGCGGTAAAGGGGCATAATGCCTGCAACTTACTCTTAAACAGAAAAAATGTATATATACACACACATCACATGTGTGGAGAGAGAAAGGGAAAAGGACAACACGAACGTAGTAAAATGTTAACACGTGAGGAATCTAGGTGAAGGGTGTTTCAAAAAGTTTATACTACTCTTGAAGCCTTTCTGTAAATCTAAAATTATTTTGAAATACCAAAGAAAATAATGGTTTTTTAATGAGATGGCACATGTACATTGCTCAGTACACTGATGCCGGGCAAGGGAAGAGCTCAACAGATACAGCTCATCAACTGCTTACTGACGTGACTGTTAGGGTTAGAGACTGTACAGCTTGACCCCTTGGGAAAGTTGGGAACACAGAGGCCAGGAGAGGGCAGGAGCTGCCTGCCCCGGGTCATGCAGGAGTGCTGGGCATGGCCTGCACCACCACCCTCCCCCCCCCCCCATGGGGCCAGTAAGTGTTCTTCACACTGCAGGCGCCAACCAGGATGTGCCCACCCTCTTCATTTCTGGGGGCAGACCTGCTATATCCTAGGCTCTAGATTGTCCCTGTCTCCAAGGCACCCTGAGAGGGCTATGACAGGGAGCCAATGTTAATGTTAGTAGGGACACACTGGGCCCAGCCTGGACAGAAATATTGAGCAAATGCTCAGGGAACAATATTCATTCATTCATTCATTCATTCATTCCTATCACACCTACTAGGTGATGCCAGGCCCTGCCTGCCTTCATGGTGTCCCCAGAATGGGTGGGAGTCAGGCATTAAGCACACGATTCCTGTCGAATGCATCAGAGGAGTTACTCGAGAACCTGGGTGTGAAGGATGAGCTGGTGCTAACCAAGTACAGGAGTAAAGGTGCACGTGGCTGGGGAACAGCGCCTCCCAAGGCCCTCAGGTGGGAGGCATTCTGGTGCCTTACGGATGAAGCTCCACGGGCAGTTGGGGCACTTGGCCTCCTAGTGAGGTCAGGGTGCTGCTCCTCCTCCAGTCAGGAAATAGTAGGGACTCAGTGGCATTTACTAAAGTAGTAAAAGAGGCACATCAGCCTCCCAGGCATCTGGTGTCCTTTCCTCCCTCCACCTGTTCCCTCCCTTCTTGGGTGAGAGTTCTGAAACGCCTGGCTGTTGCCACTCCCATGAGCTGCCCCCTCTGCCCATGGTGCCAGCTCCTGCCGGTGGGAGGGGGAAAGGTAGAGGCGGCCGGTCTGGCTGGGTGCCCGGTAGGGGGCCTCTGGGCAGGACCCCCAGCCGGACGCCAGAGAGGCTAGCTTGGAGTGTGTGGAGTTGACCAGAAGGAGAGCTGGGACGCACCAGGCTGCTGAGCTGCCCCCGCCAGGAGTTTTGCCACTGAGCTCAGTGATTATAAATAACCCACCCGGTGCCCAGGCCTGCACCAGGGCAAGAGACCAGGGAGGCTGCCGGAGCGACAGCTGGAGCCCAGGCCCCTGCGTCTTTGCCCCTTACGAGTGGCCCCAACACCCTGGGCCCCGGCCGCGAGGAAGGAGCTGCCCACGGAGAGGCTCGTAAATGAAGAACACCGAAGTCCCTGCCCGCATCTCGTCACCTCCAAAGGCGCTGGGGAAACAGAGGGCTCTCTCCTACCTGCCACCCTCCTGCCCCGGAGCCCCTCGCCGAGTACGAGGAACGCTCCTCCAGTTCCCTGCCAGGTCCCCGGAGCGTCCGGCCGCTGCCCAGCGCCTCCCCCACTCCGCTAAAGCCCCCGGAGAACTCACACCGCCAGGTAGGTCAGGATGGAGACCTGCAGCAGCCGGTAGAGCAGGCCCACCTTCTTGCTCTTGGCGATGACATATTTCTCGGTCTTGTAGTCCAACAGCGACTGGGAGAGCCCCTTGCAGCCCGCCTGCCCCATGGCGCCGTCTCACCTGCGCCTGCGGCCAGTGCCTCGGCTCGCGTGCCGCATGGGAGCCGCCTCTCGCCGCTGCTCCCCGCGGATCCGAGGACCTCGGCACTGCGGCTTCCGCGGGCGCGACTCCAAGCAGCGGGGTCGCCGGCCGGCGTGCGGGGCAGGGAGCGCGCGGGCGCACGGGCCGCTGCGGTCTAAGCTGCGGAAGCCGCCGCCGGGGGCCGGGGGCCGGGGGTGGGGGTGGGGGTGGGGTGGGGTGGGGTGGGGCGGGGGCGGCGCCGGGCCACGACCTTGCCGTCACCTCGCCCGCTTCCTCCTCTCCTCACGGTGACACCTCGACCATCCGCCGGGCCACCAGCCAGCGAGGGCACTGACAATCCAAGGCACAGCACCGCACGTGCGGCCCCGCAGCCGGAAATCGGAAATCCGGCGCTGGAGGGGTGAGGAGACGAGAGTGGGCAGGGCTGCTTTTCAAACCCACCCTGTCTACTCCCAAAGAAATCCCAGGGAGGTTGTATAGCTTGGATAGGGAAACTGAGGCCAGGGGAGGAGGGACCTACAGCGCAGGAAGGGAGGAGGGGCTGAAAAAATATGTAGCCAAACACACCAGGTTTCTGCATGTTTCCTGCGCTCTGGGAGAACCTTGATTCTCACCACACAGGCTGAAAGGCACTGAAGACTGGCCCGACGCATGGCTCCTGTGTCCTCTGTGATTGAGTTCCCACTGCGGCGGCGGCTGCTGGCTTAAAACCCCATGCTCCCAGGGGACCAGTTGCCACGCAGGTCCGGAGCCCACAGCATGAAGAACTCCAGAGCACACCTGAGAAAGGCCAGTGGGCTGGGGGTGTGGACATGCAGGCAACCAAGCCCTGGGACCCTAACATAAGCGTGGAGCGTGTTCAAACCCACTGTTTGAAATGTCCCCAAAGCAAGAGGTGGGCCTAATCTAGGGTGCTAAACCTGCACCCCTCTTCACAACAGGCAAAATGAAATGGGAGGGTGTGGGCGCTGGGATGAAGGAGGGCACGTGGGAGATCAGTTTTCGAAGTTAGCACAGCAACAGAGAGGCAGGCCCCTGGGCGACATGTGCCCCGGGCTTGAACTAACACAGCAGCCCACGCACTTTCTGCATCCTGCCATCTAACCAGAAACAGGAGGGCTCCTCTCGCTACCCTGGCTTTTCACATACCTGTGAGAAGTTCCCTTTCCTGAACCACAGGCTGCAGGAGTTGGAAGGATCCCGAAAGTTCACCAAATGTGCCTCTAAAAGGAAAAGCTACAGGGGCGCCTGGGTGGCTTAGTGGGTTAAGCCTCTGGCTCTTGATTTGGGCGGGTCATGATCTTGAAGTTCATGAGATGGAGGCCCATGTAGGGCTCTGTGTTGATGGCAGGGGACCTGCTTGGGATTCTGCCTCCTTCTCCCCTGCCCTTCCTCCCTAGGTTCCCCAGCCGTCACTTTCTCTTCCCTTCTTATTCCCTGAAAGCATTTGTCATTCTTGGATAGGATCTTGCTTACTTACTGACTGTGTCCCCCCACTAAGACCAGAAAGCTACTAGAGGGTGGGGACCTTGCCTCTGACATCTTTGTAGCCTATGCCCACTGCTGTATCTGCCATAGGTTAGACACACACACACACACACACACACACACACACACACACACACCCCGAGTGAGTAAACAAACTAACGCCTGGTTTTTTAGACAGGGAGGAGATTTGGAGTCACCACCCTGTCCCAGTCATGACTAAGGATTTTAGAAGCTGATGTCATTCTGAGGGGGAGGCTTGGGAATTGTCACCAGACCTCCCTTCCACTCTCCTACCGGCCTCTTTCTCAGCCCTCCTCCCACACGGATCTCCAGCTCTCAGGGGAGAGGCAGCCTCAGTGGAGCGACAGCACGTCTGTGGAGATTCCCATCCACCTGAGCCCACGAGGAGGCCTTGCAAGGCCTCAAGATCTGGCCTGATGAGCTCGAGGCTGGAAGACGTCACCCCGCACAGGGCCCCCACCCTTGCATGAGCCACCTGTAAGATGGTGCCACGCTGCATCTCTCCACTGCCCGCAGGGAGCTCCAGGCTTTTGTGATGAGGCCTGTGTGTTCTGAGAGAGCCCAGAGGCCACGGCCTGCATTCTGCAGGGTGGATCACTGAGGCCCCAGGTCATAGTGCACAGCCTGCCACTAGCCCCGGTCCAGAGCACCATCCCCTATTCATGCTTCCTCAGACCTTTACTGAGGACCTACTGTGTGCTGCTGCTGAGGCTGGAATGCAAGGAACCCTGCCCGCTGTGGTTCATATAACTGCCACTCCAGCTTTAGAGAGGGGTCTCTGCACCTATTTGCCCACCGGAGTGGGCAGCCCCTCCTGAACCCACCCCCCACACCTACCCCATGACTCAGCCAAGACCAGGCTGCAGTTTCTGACACAAGTATCCTAAAGCTCCAGGGACCACATGAGGAAGGATTGGAGGGGAACGGGCCACTCTTGGGGCCAGGCCTGACCCTTCCTGTGGGCTCCCTCATGCACAGCTTCTTAAGACTGCAAGGTCCTGGGGCTCCTGGGTGGCTTAGTTGGTTAAGCGTCCGACTTTCGCTTAGGTCATGATCTCACGGTCCGTGGGTTTGAGCCCCGCGTCGGGCTCTGTGCTGACTGCCAGCCCAGAGCCTGGAGCCTGTTTCAGAGTCTGTGACTCCCTCTCTCTCTGCCCTTCCCCTGCTCACTGTCTCTCTCTCTCCTAGAAAGAACTAAAACATTAAAAAAAAAAAAAAAAAAGACTGCAAGGTCCAGACCCATCAGCGGGTCATGATATCAGTTTACTGGGTTACAGTGAGCATATGCAAAGGGAGAGAGAGAGAACACTCAAGCAAGAATAAGAGTAAAAATACCAGTGTGCTTAAGGAAGTAAGGGTAGTTACAGTTTCATGAGACATTTGTTTTCGGTGTGAGTGTGTGCCTGTGATGTGGAATGTATTTCTTCCTGTGGCTCGTGGTCAAAACACTGTGAAAACTGCTTCTGGAAAGCTGCAAACCCCAGTATCTGCAATCTACCGCCATATGGGGTAGGCCAGCTCACCAGCCCCACCAGTGTAGCCGAACACCCCCTATAACCAGGGTGGGAGAAAGGGCCTGCGCATTTTACATTGCCATCATGCAACTTCTAAGTCAGGGACTTTTCCAAAACCAAGATGAATTCTCAACTTGAAAGAAAATTACCTACTGCTTTTGATGGACAGTTTCTCCAGCTTCTAGCTAACTCCATCTCCACAGTCTTAAGAGCCCCAAGGTACCCTGTTTCAGTGTCTTCACCATTACCACATGTCTTCACGGTCACTAGTTGCTGAGCACTCTTCTAAATGCATTAGGTGTGTGGGCTCACTTAACCATCACCACCCTAACCACCTATGTGGTTGTACAATCATTGCCTTTATTTTTCCCCAAGAGGTTAGATGTGTCTACGAGTAAGCATCTGCACCAGCATTTGAATCCAGGTGATCCGGCTCCCAAACCCAAGCAATCATCTCCATTTGTCACCATGAGCACGGTGCTTTACAGTTTCCACGTCAATTCCCTTGACTCGTTCTGTGAACCCAGCCAGAGAGGTAGCTGTCAATCCCATTACACGTGTGATGGAACAAGGTCCTAGGTCACCCGAAAAGCTAAAATTAGTCCTCGGTCTCCCAGCCATCCACTCTGGACCCTATGCCTTCCTCTGGACGATTTAGTGTGGAGCTCACACATTTGTCCTGCCGCTGTGGAGGGAGGGCGCTGCCGAGGCCCAGTGCCACAGAGCTCCTCAGAGGGCGATGGCCTCTCTTGCGATGCCCTATCGGAGAGAGGGGCGGCCAGGAGTATGGGCACCGTCACCGGGCACCCCCCCTGCTGCGGCGGCAGGGCGCACTCTGGCTTGCCAAGAATTGACCGAGCGCCTTGAAACTTCATTTCCCGGGTCAGAGGTCAGGGGTGAATGGCCTGTCTTCAAAGGAGTCAACACACCTCCCTGGCTCACCACCACATCCCTTCCCTCCCCTCCCCCAAAGAAGCCTACATGGTGCTCCATTATAGTGAGTGCTGTCCCCCTGAAAGGACTGGCAGGGACGGAACCATTCTCCTCTGGTTCAAGAGACTGTCCAGCTGAAAGAGCTCGGGAATTATAAAATGGATTTCTTTTTTGGTAAATGAATTTCTAAAGGGCCTTTTTTCTTTTTATATCATCTCACTTTCTCCTAAGACTTGCCAACAGGTTAAGCTGATTGGTCTGTGTGGTTTGGACCCCCTGCTGTGGCCATCTTGGTCTCCGCTGGGTCCTGGGATGATCTCTACATAAAAACATGACGGATCCTCACATGTTGGAATTGAAACAGACAGAGCCCTCACGTGTCCACCCAAAGAAATATGCTGGACTTTTAATTAAGGGGAAAACAGACCCTCCTGACTCTGACTCCAACCTTTCCTCTACACCAGTCTCTCTTCTTTCTTCTATGAATTTTATAGATTATAAGGGAGGGAGTATGGTGCAATAGAGTAAGCCCTGGAGGTGGGAGAATTAACCCCCTTATAAACTTTTTTTCTAATGTTTATTATTTTTGAGAGAGAGAGAAACAGCACGAGCAGGAAAGGGGCAGAGAGAGAGGAAGACATGGCATCTGAAGCAGGCTCCGTGCTATCAGCACAGAGCCCCGTCTGGGGCTCAAACTCACAGCGCAGAGCCTGATGTGAGGATGGAACTTACAAACTGTGAGATCACGACTTGGGCCGAAGTCAGACGCGTAACCAACTGAGGCAACCAGGTGCCCTGGAAATCACCCTTTTAATCAAGAAAAACTCCCATTTTCTAGGAGTTGAGAAGATGCTTCTAAGAGGAAAACCGTTGTCTGGCTGTAGGTGGGTGGCTGCATGGAGTGGCCAATGGCATCACTGTGTTTCCATCACAGGCTTAGAGGTATCACTCGGTTACCCTGTGGCCTCCAAATACACACGATTTCCTCCCTTCCCTCCAGCCCTAGCAAG